CCTCTTCATAATCTACCCCCCGAACCCAAGAAATAATCTCGAAAGGTCTTTCCTGTGCTTTTTTACCTTTCCTTTTGGATAAAAGAAAAGTCGGTGGCTACTCTTTCTATCCGCATAAATGCGATAAAAACGCGAAACAACTCAAGTTAGTTCTCCCACCATATCATAGAACTGGCGAATCTGCTGGGGAGAAATTCTAAAAGCGGAGTTACCTTAGGGTTAGATCACTTTTTACTTGTTTCTTTGCATGCTTTATATTTTGTTGTTTGTATTGGGCTTGCTTTGATCCTTCACCCAGAGATGGGACACCTTTTAGGTAAATAACAATAGATTATGGAAATTGTACGGCGTAGACCGATATGGTTGAAACAATGGCTATGTTAGTGTGACGCATTTGTGGGTACCAGTATCCCTCGTGGTGAATCGAGGAGAATAAGCGTCCGCTGAGTGGCATCATGAAGCACAAACTAACTTTAGAACCCTAATTGAACAAACTTGTCCATTAGGACGCAGTGAGATAACCGATTTCAGTGTAGAGCTGAAAATTGGTTGATACTCGATACTACACTCATTGAGGATAGACTTTTGGGATATCTCGGCTGCAAGAAAATATTTTTGTGCTGAGACAATGCCTAAGAGAAAGGTCGGTGATATTGAGATCCTTTAGAACCCAATCACTATTACTAGGACAGGTTGAGCCAACTAAACTTCAAGAGGGTACTTACCTATAAAACCCATGTAAGCCTAAAACATAGGGACTTGTTTGCTGTGTGTGTATATATTTACTTGTACATAACATCATAAGCATCATGAGCATCATATGCATGCTCACTAACCATTTCAAGGATTTATAAATTTATCTTTGTTTTTGTTTTGTAGGTCATGAATTTCGTCCGAAGAAACACCATCCGAATCAGCTTTGTAAAAGCACACCCTCAACTTCAAGAGTTGGCCTCAAGAGTGCCTTGGGATTCTCCTTTTACCAAGAAATATGGCCGACTCCTCAGTTCGGCTACATCCAAATTCCAAGAAGAGATGATGTGTGTGCTGTTCCAGTTCTTTGATCCCGCACATCATTGTTTTACTTTCCCGGACTATCAGTTGGTACCTACACTGGAAGAGTTCTCTCTACTCTTAGGGGTTCCCGTGCTTGATCACATATGAAGAGAGCCGACATCATAACCAATTGGGAGACAATAAGCAGGGTTAAAGGATTCCTAGCCAAGTTTCTATTGGAGAAGGCTCATTCATTCTGGGAAGACATGGATTTACAAGCTTTTGAAGACATTCTGGCTCTTCTCATTTATGGTTTGGTTTTGTTCCCAACCTCAGACCAATTCATAGATATTAGTGCCATCAAAGTCTTTCTATCTCGCAATCCCGTACCTACCTTACTGGGAGACATCTTGCATTTCCTTCATACCCACACCATGAAGAAAAGAGGTATTCTCTTGTGTTGTATCCCCCTACTCGCTAAGTGGTTCACTTCACACCTACCTCAATCAGCATTGAAGAACGAGCAAAGACTGACACGGTCCCAAAGGATGATGTCCCTCACCCACTTTGACATTTGTTGGTGTTCGAGATCCTTGGAAGATGCCTCTATCATTGACCTCTATGGGGAATTCCCTAACATCCCTCTGCTTGGTATTAGGGGAGGTATCACCTACAATCCCTGCTTAGCTCTTCGATAGTTTGGGTATGCCCGAAGAGACGGCCCTCATGAGATGCTCATTCAAGGTCTGGTGTTCGACTACGACAAAGAAGACCAAGGTTACCGCCAGAGGTTTACACGAGCTTGGAGAATGGTGAACAAGGTGGACAGTAGGACCTTGGGACATAAAAACTCTATCCCGCTCGAGCCTTACCTTAAGTGGGTACGGGCTCGTGCTCAGAGACTCGTTATGCCTTATCCTTCCATCCTCCCTTTTATCGTAGAGCCTGTTGTTGAAGGAGACGTCCCATACAATGTCCTTCATCCTGACATGCCTACCTCTCTCGAAGAATTATAGAAAGCTTGGGTTCAGATTAAGGAAGAGAGAGACACATTTAAAGCCCAATTTTACGCCAGTGAGAAGAAGGTTCTGGAACTCACCAAGCTGCTTCATGAAGAGCGGAATCTGAACGCCTACATTGCTCCAATGAGGATGCGTTCAACCTTTCTGTCTTAGGAGTTTTTGTTGTATTTTGTTCCTTTCATTGTAAGCCCAAAGAGGCATGATATACTCAAACTTGGTTTTATTAATATAACGTGTGTTCTTTTTTTGGTTTGAACAAATTTAAATCTCTAATTTCCTTGAAATTATTTGCATATTGCATCTCCGTTCATCATAACATCATACAGGTTTCTTACAATAGGTCTCATTATCCTTCTACTGTTTATTTCAGTGTGATGGATATTGAACAGACAATGAAAGATCTTTAGGCGCATAACGTCCAGTTTCAACAAATGCTCTTGACTCTGACAAAAGGACAAGAGGATTGAAGACTCTACTGGCCAAAGAAAAGAAGAAGAAAGTGAAGAAACCACCTGGTATTGTGATCATGGGAAGAAGGTTCCAAGGACAAGCCAGACGAACTTTAGACATCGCAATATCATCGGGGGAAGGGGATAATCAAGAAGATAGGACCAAGAAAGTGATCAACAACCCAGCATCTGAAGAAGAGGAAGAACCTGACTACTCTGAGGAACAGTATCCTCCTGTTGATAATAAATACAAAGAGCTAGAGGATCGTTTGAATACTATGGAGGTCCAGAGGGTACCCGGATTGTATTTTGAAGAGTTAGGACTTGTCTCAGGGGTCGTCATCCCGCATAAATTCAAGGTCCCCACTTTCACTAAATATGACGGTGTCTCTTGCCCGAAGTTGCATTTAAGGTCATACGTCAGAAAGATTCAACCCCATATGACTGATAAGGATATGTGGGGTGCATTTTTACCAACAGAGCTTGTCAAGGACCCAGTTGGATTGGTTCTATCAGTTGGAAGGGACAAATATTCGCAATTGGGAAGGTTTGGCTGCCGCCTTCTACAAACAATATCAGTATAATGCTGACTTGGCTCCAACTTGGACGTAATTGCAAGGCATGTCCATGGATGCAGGTAAAGGTTTCAAAACCTATGCTAAAAAATGGAGGGATCTCGCAGGCAGAGTCCAGCCCCCTCTGTCTAACAGAGAATTAGTGGATATGTTCCTAGGCACCTTTTCAGGACCATTCTTCAACCACCTGTGAAACAACCGGCTAAAAATCATCAAACAATGAAGTCGCCATCGAACGTATTTTATCCTACATGTAGGGAAAGGTAAACATCGAGGAAACCTGAAAAGGGTGAAATCATGGTCGAACGACCGAGAGATAAGGGTAAGGGAGTCTGTTACGTGAGGGGAAGGTATTAGCACCCCACACGCCCGTAGTACTCTATGGTATCCACTCTTGTTATCTATCTTATGAGTGTGTTTAATCTATGCTTATTGTTTTCTATACTGCTAAAGGGAGAATGCATGCAAAAGAAAGGGGGGAAAATGTAGGGAAAATAAAAGTTGTGCTCGTTCGGGCCCTACCCCAATGCCTACGTATCCCTTTTAAGGAATCAGAGCAGCCGTAGTTCGGCTCATGTTTTTGTTTGTTTGTATTTTCTTTAATGAACAATATTAATCTCGCCTTCTGCCGCAACTCGACCTTTGGAGATTTACGCGTCAGCACAGAAGTGAATTAATACGCTCTTTTGAAAAGTTTGGGAAGAAATGTGCCCGGACGCACAAAAAGGTTTGAACTTGTTTGTTTTTGTAATGAATGATATTAATTTCGCTTTCTGCCGCAACTCGACCTTTGGAGACTTACGCGTCAGCACATAAGTGAATTAATACGCTTCTTTTGGAAAGGTTTTGAAAGAAAGGCCCGAAGGCAGAAAGAGTTTGTATTGGTTGATATTTTTGCTTGTAGATAACAACTAGTTAATCTCAAGGGAGAGATTTTAGCCATTTCTCTACTTATTCATGAAATGAGTCTTTGAGACTTGAACCATACCAAAGCTTAGAATAAGAGAATAATAAGGTCGAGAAGAAACCCTCTTATCATCTCTCAAACTCAGCCAAGACATGGTTCTTGTCAGTAAATTTCCTTTTTTTTTATAATTTTGAAGTTTGTAAAAAAAAAAGAAGAAATTTTTGTTATTATAAATGCATATGCGAAAGGGAAAGAAAAGTTATAGGGAGACTAGCCTAAACCTGATTCTATCACACTTCATATGATCTATGGGAAAAGATAAATGCGAGGTAAAAATAGAAAGAAAATATACCAAACGAATACTAGCCCGTAGAGCAAAGCAGAAAAAGCAAAGATACTTGACAATCTCGTGAGTTGTTACCGTCAACAAAGAAAAGAGTCAGAAACCCCATTACTGAAGCATCTTTTAATGTGAAAATAAATCACAATTGGCATCTCGAGCGTATCCATATAAAAACCTGCGTAAGACTCGAATCTTGACGAGCAAGAGTGAATTACCAGTTTCGAGTAATCGAATAATCATGAATTAATTTGCAAAGGGAAAATAATAATAAGTTCTCCTCTTTTTTTTTTTGATTTAACCATTTGAAATAACCATTAAGTAAATGAATAATAATAAAAGGAGAAAAGAAAAAAAATCCCAAAACGACGGCGTTTACTGTAAACGGCCCCCTCCAACTCCTTTACGCAGAAATCCTTTCTTCTACCTTCGAAAACAACAATGGCGATGCCGCCATGACTCCATCCCTTCTCCCCTGTTCTGATTCAACTTTCTTGTTAACACCACCTAAAGTCTCCCTCTGAATTCGACTCCTTTGCTTGCTTTCATCAATTTCTCTTCCTCTATTCCGAATCTAACAACGAAACTTAAGCTCTACATTTCTTCCGATCAAGATTACATGGTGGATTTATCATTCGCCGCGTTTTACCCTTCGCGGTTATGGTACAGACCAAGCAAAAAAGTCATAAACAGAAGAAGATTGAGGGTTACCTATTGAAGACACGTTGGTAGCGCTTCAGAAATCCAGAGATGAAGTAATATAATTATTGTCCTTCTTGATCTTGTCTGCTTCGTCTTGATCCTCCCATCACTGTCTTCACTTTTTCTTTGGCCTGGGGGTTGCGTGCGTTGGTGATAGGAGAAGAGCGGAAATGATGACAATTATGAAGATTATCGCAAGTTGAGAAAAATGAACTTTGTATGATGAATCAGAGAGAAGTGAAGCTTTGAGAACTAACTGAAGGTCGAACAATGGAGAGTGGAGGTGAAGACGGAGTTTAGAGAGGGGAAATTGAAGATTATGAGAGTTCAGAAAAATTGAGAGTGAATGATGGAGAGGGAAGAAGTTGTTTTGAAGCTGATACAATGATGAAGTTTTGAAACTGGAAAAGAGAGAGTGACTTCGTTTTTTGAAACTTGGAGGGAGTTTGGATTATATAGGTAGTTGAGGGAGATGGAAATGGTTATGTGTGAATCGATCCGAACCATTGATTTGGGTAGAGTTTGTTAGATATTGAAGGGTGAGATTGAGAGTTTGTTACAAGGTGGTTATGCTAGTTGGGAATTCTGTTTGGAGGTAGTTAGAGAGTTATAAAATTGTTAGGAGGAAATTGATGAGCTGTTAATTAATCTTCTGTTTCCCATTCTTTAAGCTTCTGTCCTACAAATAATTCTTCCAGCAGCCAACTGCTTTGACAAAGGAACATCCAAAAATGGCATATTAGGATACCATTTGTCAGTTAATTCAACTTGTACCGCCTCTTTATTCTGATTAGATAAATTGCCGTTTTGAAGTTTCAGCCTTCCCACCAAGCTTAGTCTTGTGTTGATTGCTAGCGTTTGTATTAGTGTGCAGCTCAGTTTTAAACTTACCCTTGTCAATACAATGGGCATCTCTTAATAGCACCTCCAACTTCTCTTCTGAAGGTTCATGATTTGACTGTAGTAGATGTACAGAGCTCAAAGAATATCCGATAATCTCTCAGTGGAGTGATTCCGCTTAACCCCTATTGACTTGCCTTTACCTTTCTTGTCAACATTGCCGCTCTTGTGATGGGTGCTAGCGCTGCCATAAACCCTGTCACTTTCTTGACAAGCGTTTCTTTGCAAATCAGCATTGTAAGACTCCACAAGTTCTCCCTGCTTCCGAGTACCCGGGTGTAGTCTTGCCAACTCAGGTACGGGATGAAACAAACCAAACTGCTGCACATAATCCACATATGTATCTATCTTCCTCTTTATAGGATAAGCTTCCTGCTTGCAATCTCCCATTGGAAGATACTTCCCCTAATTCAACTGCTGGTGCCTTAGATGGTCCTGCTGAATGTGCTCCAATATCGCCTTCTTGTACACGCCGTGCTTTTTTCTTGTTCTGTTGTCTTCCACTCTATGTTCATCGAATATTCTTTCAGTATGACTGGAAGCAAAAGGTAGAAAGTCGACGTGCGCGTGTGGGATTCAGCACTTAATTCTACAAACTTAGAAACAAATTCTAATCTATCAAGAATAACTTTGAGGAACATTTCTTGAAAATTCTCCGCCATCTTAATCTCATCTTTGTTGAGCTCTACAACTCCAAAATGGAATAAATTTTATCTTCACAGATCTACCGTGAGCAAGATGAAGATCAAGTTCCAGTTTCTCTACCTCCATTGGAAGACGAGTCATGATGAACAAGCCAAACTTTTTATAGACCCTATCCTCCGGAGTGGGGAAAAATTTAATGTAATAAGCATTGAGACAAACAGTTCTCTCTGCATTTTTCCATGACTGTCCAAAGGCAGAAGGAACTAGCATCTCATATAGTTCTCCTATTGAAATGTCATCTTCACACTCATCTGAATCAGAAGAGTCCAAAACCTCGGGCTCTGCGTCATTTTTCTTTGGCAAGAGACAGTCATTTAAAGAACCCAATTTATATAGTTTCTCAATTGCTTTCAGACATGCGTCTCTTTTTGAAGCTTCCATAGACAAATGTGGCGCACTGACAATTTGGTGTATTGGAGCATTGGAAGGCAAAGTCATCTGGCAGACAGTTCCCTCTGAATCATCGAAATAAAAGAAACTTGGCCTAGGATCAAAGTACTCATCATGCGGAAGCTTTGAGCAATACTGGTGAAGTAATGAGGCACTGTATCCCGCACTGGCTGAAGCACCAGATGAATCAACTCTGAAAATCTTTTCCACAGGGATGTTGTGTGTCTCACTGGATGTTCGGACAGCAATTTACGTATTCATTCGAAGTTCATCTTTCTCAAAACCATCGATTATGGCTAATTACTTCTCATTGCCGCTGTCAACCAAAAATTCATATTCTGAACGAGGCATGTGGGCACAGCCTCTTGACTGTATAAAACTGGCAACAGTTTCGGGCAGATCAAACCGTATGACGAGGCAACATGTCTGAATATCAAGCCCTTCTTCACCCACTTTGGTGGAAACCAATAGATTCAACTCTTCTGAGCGAAACTTTTCAATAATCGTGTTCATGGTCTTCCGTGACATACTCTTCACTCCCGCATGGACTCCTAAAAGAAAATCATTTTCCACTTACTTAAGAGCTTGAGCTGCTGTAGTATAGATGACAGGGATCTTGCAGTCACAATTCTATTCACAAAATTTACATTTCTTGTTCTGTAGTTGATTATGGTTGGGAGCAACAGCGACAGGCTGTGTTAGTGTAGCTATATGACCTGAAATAACCGGTGAAACCTGAACTTGCATGTTACTGTCAGAAGGAGATTGATGAGTTATTAATTAATTTTCTGTTTCCCATTTCCTAAGCTTTTGTCCTACAAACAGTCTTCCAACAGCCAGTTGCTTTGACAATGGAACATCCAAAATGGCATTTATAGAATACCATCCATTAGTTAGTTCAACTTGTACTGCCTCCCTACTCTGATTTCCGGTTTGTGCCTCAACTAATGTCCCATTTTCAAGCATGTGATCAGAGTGAATGCTAGGTATGCAGAGAATCATCATCGAAGAAGGCAATCCGTCCCCTTCAAAAATTCTCTTGATGGTAGACCGGTGGCCATGATTCACTTCTCTTTTATATCTGTACTTTAGTTCCTCAAGCACATTTGATACAGTCAGAAATTTGCCAACACACCTAGATGGATATAATCTCTCATAGCATGCCAGTTTCCAAACAATCCATTTGTAATGATTCAAGACCCATTCTTTTGAAGTACGAAGGGAAGCTCCCTGCTGTGCCAATAGATGGATGAAAGCTTCTGCTCCCATAACATCATCATCAGACCCATCGAGGAATATGTATATTCCTGCATTACCCGACGTCACATGTTTGACTAGGTTGGGAAAATGTACTTTTCTCTACAGAGGAGGAACTGCAAAAAACTCCTTGATGTGCATCCTTGGATACTGAAAAGGATATCGGGTAGAAACCTTTCTCTTGCATCCAGAAGCAACAGATGATAATTGAGACAGGTTATTAGGAATAAATTGAACATCTTGGTCACTAGAAGCAGAGATATTGAAAATGCAAGGCTTTTTGAAGGGAGAAACAGTTAAGTTTAATCCTAGTCTCCTTTTCCATATGCTTCCATAAGTGCAGTTTGAGACACTACATTTGGTGCATAACCATTATTATTCATCAAACCCAACACCCTCTAAGCACCATTGAAGTCTCCAAACTTTCCATAAGTTGTAATAATCAAGATGAAATCCATCTTACTAAAATCCCACCAGTTTTGTGCTCTAAGCCATACAAGAATCTTAACAACGACATTCCATTTCTTGAATTGTTCGAACCTAATCATAGTACCAACAACAAGGTGTTTAGGAATAGTTTGGTTCTTCATATTCTCAAAAGATAACACAGAAGCAGCAGAGCCAGACTCCTCTATCAATTTCATGAGTTTCCTTTATTTTTTCTTCTCAGCTTCATCAAATTTCATGATTAAGTTATTCCCATTACCTCCATAGCGAAGCTTGTTTGAAAAATCCGTTCGTCTAGAAGACTGCAAAAGGGGACGTGAAACTTTTTGCCATGTGATTGTGATTGCCTTCTGGTGTAGTTTGATGGATTTAATTGGAACTGGCTTAGCAATCTCACCACCAGAACCACTATCTGGCTGTATTGTTTTATTCTCAAAATCATTATGTAATCTACTAACTAAAGGACTTTGAAAAGACACAAAACTTGTCTGTTTACTATTATCCACGAATTGTGAATGAGGCGATTCTTCACCAAAAGCATGAGCTATTTTAGAATTCTGAGGGGTTTGAATATCACTAACAGTTTGGAATTTAATTGAAGCTTGCTTAGCATTACTACCACTATCTTGTTCCACAATTTTATTCTCAAAACCATTCCTCAATCTACTAGCTAAAGGAAAGAACTTATTTGAATCAATGATAAACAAAGATCAAACAGTAAAATGGGCACCAGTACATCCACATTTTCCCTCTGTATGATGTTTCTGATTGCATAGCTTGTGACTTAAGTAATAAGTTCCCCCTTTGGATTTAAAGAGAAAGATCGAACAAAATCCCTAACTAGTCATTGGTAAAGATCCTTTGACTACTAGCCCTGCCAAAATTCATCCGACGAACCCACGCATAGGGAAATAAACCCTAATTGAAGGATGACATTGAGCACAAAAATATAATGAATGCCTGATTTAGTAGCTCTTAGATGACTTTGTAGAACAACTTGGAAATGAACATGGGGGATACAGAAAGAAATATGACCAAGATGGTCATGACTCAGAAAACCTAATGAACCCCGGCTGATGAAATGTTGACAAGCACAAACTTGGTGGAGAAATGCTTTGATTCTTGTCTCAAATGTATCTGAACGAGTAATGACCCCTTAATCTTGAAGAGGGCGAGACCCTTAATGAGCATAGGTTGAAAACCTAATTCCACATTTCACTGCTTGAAGGATAATCAGAAGAATCAGACTTTATTAGATACGAACACCTTGACTGCTGCGAAGCCCTAGTATCGCGCAACCACTGAACTTCGATCCTCAAGTGCTTTATTGAATTCAAATGTATGTTAATGACCTAATGGAATATGAATGCAAGAGTCTAAGCCAGATAGAAGAAATTAGGAGGGAAAAATTTGGGGTGCAACAGCTGCCCCTATTTAATCGCTTTCAACCCAAAGGTGAGATTGGCGCAAGCCTTTCGAACCTTCAAGGTGGAAGAAGATTAAATACTAAAAGAACCCAAAAATTTGCGCTTCGAATCCAGTCAGGTATTATTATATATTTTTTGTTTTCTTTGGATTGCAGTGATTAGCTGAGAAAATCTCTTGGATGTCAGGTCAAGGTTAGACATACACATTAAAGATACCGACCGAAGAAGGCTCTGACGAAGGAATACCAATCGAAGGCAAACTTACTGAGGATAGAGGCCAAGCGAATGGGACTCCCGACATATGATACCAGCCGAAGATGGATTTTAACAAATGATACCAGCCGAAGCGGGGTTTTAAAAGATACCAGCCGAAGCGGGATTTCTAAGAAAAGAACATCGGTCGAAGGCGAACTTACAACTGCAAAGAGACCAGCCGAAGGGGACTCTCAATAAATGATACCAACCGAAGGTGGATTTTAAAGGATGCCAGCCAAAGGTGGACTTTAGAGGGTGCCAGCCGAAGGTGGACTTTAAAGGGTGCCAGCCGAAGGTGGACTTTAGGATAAAGAAACCAGCCGAAGGGGAATCTTCATCCAGGAATACTATGCCGAAGGTAGATTCCTAAGAAAAGAACGTCGGTCGAAGGAGAACTTACAACTGCAACGAGACCAGCCGAAGGGGACTCTCAACAAATGATACCAGCCGAAGGTGGATTTTAAAGGATGCCAGCCGAAGGTGGACTTTAAAGGATGCCAGCCGAAGGTGGACTTTAGAGGGTGCCAGCCGAAGGTGGACTCCTAAGAAAAGAACGTCGGTCGAAGGCGAACTTACAACTGCAAAGAGACCAGCCGAAGGGGACTATCAACAAATGATACCAGCCGAAGGTGGATTTTAAAGGATGCCATCCGAAGGTGGACTTTAGAGGGTGCCATCCGAAGGTGGACTTTAAAGGGTGCCAGCCGAAGGTGGACTTATAAGAAAAGAACGTCGGTCGAAGGCGAACTTACAACTGCAAAGAGACCAGCCGAAGGGGACTCTCAACAAATGATACCAGCCGAAGGTGGATTTTAAAGGATGTCAGTCGAAGGTGGACTTTAGAGGGTGCCAGCCGAAGGTGGACTTTAAAGGGTGCCAGCTGAAGGTGGACTTTAGGATAAAGAAACC